TCTCCTGCTGATGGACTTCACAGAGAGAGCAGTCTGTATGTTATTGTGTATGAATGAATAACTGGAGGATAAGCAGATCAAACTCCAGGACTGATCATTACATCCAAACACACACTCACCTCCTCCCTTTCTACTGATGCTCTTATATGACACTGATATTAACACACCTTTATCTCCCCTCCACTTCAGCTCCCAGTAACAGCGTCCACACACTCTCTCTCTACACAACACCTGCTCATACCCATCAAATCTGTCTGAATGATCAGGATACGACTGGAGTATGTCAGTGTGAGTAATCACTCTGTTGCTCTCAGACAGACAGAGGTGTTTATTCACTGTGTTCAGATCCAGAGTGAGCTGATGGGAATCTGATGGAGATAAAACACATCAGAATCAGGAATTATGAATCTGTTTGATCTTTTCATGTAGCTGAACTCTTCATGTTCAGTGTATCTTCAGTGCCTCAGTACAGATGAGCAGATATCTGTGCAAATCCTCATTTACATCATCAGTTATAAAACTCTTCTTTCAGCTTCTACAGAAGAACATGAACACACTCAGTGAGTTTTCTGCTGGTTTTCTTACTGACTTACATTGTAGGAAGTGGTTCCTGCTTCTGGGAACAATGTTGGTGAGTGTTTCTGTGGAAATCAACAGACATGAACAGTGTGATTCTCATGATCCTGTATCTATTCCTAACACATTTCTAATATGATGTTCTCCATGATATGAGCTGATGATGGACTGGTTTCTGAGAGCAGATGAATCTGCAGGACTTTACCTCTGTCTGAGATCTTCTTGAGCTGCTCTTTGCAGAAATCCTCCAGTTTGTCTCTCAGCTGATGAACAGATTCTCTCAGAGCATCAGAAGAGACGAGAGAACTGAAGAGATCATCATTTACGTCTGTAGATTCAGGAGGTGCTGAGAGAGACTGGAAACTCTACAGAAAACAGAAATCAAACTCATCAGCTCCACACTTCATATATAAATATAATAGAAATAGAAATATATTGGGGCAAATATTTGTTAGTCCCCATAATACCTGATCTCACCAGGAGCCTAGATTGGATTTACATAAATACATTATTTTACAGGATATGCACTTTTTAAATATTTCTAGAAAATGCTATTACTACTAATACTAATAGAATTAAATTGTGGCAAAAGCAAAAACAATGTTACAATAGACAATATAATTGGTAAATAGTAAAAACATGAAATAATTTGAGTGATTAAGTAGTGAATTCTGAGTATTTCTATGCTGGTGAGAACACTGATAGAAACAGTTTCAGTCATTTTGCACAAAAGTATTTACAGCTAATTGTGCTCTTACTGTCACTGACACTAATTACATAAATACATCAGGATTATTGCTGGATTTTTACTACAAAACAACATAAATGCTGCAAATGACAATTTTTAAGAAAAGCAAATTCTGTCATTTTAGGTCACAAAAATAAATGTTAAAAAAAATCTCTGAAATCCTGATGAGACTGATTGCTAATATACTGCCTCACTTCACATTTGGGGTCTTTATGATCAAATTCATCAATATGAAACAGATAAATAAAGATACATTTTATCGAGTTTGAGGATCACCTGATCCAATCGTGATGAACGTTACTCAGAATTGGTACTATAGAGTTCAATGACTTCATGACGTAATAAATCAGGAGGAGAAATGAGGTAAAAAGCTGAAATGTTAGTGAAGTTTTGAACTGTTGGTGGCGCTAGTGGTGTTTGACAGCTAAATATATCTTCAGAAGAAAGAGCTGCTTGTCTACCTGCACCTTGCACTTTTTTGCACTATGGAGTTTATATAATACTTTTTTTTTGCTAGACTTTTTAAGTCTGGGTTGAATTCTGTGTGGTTAGCAACTTTTTTTTTGTTTAGAAGAAAGAGCTCAGAAATGTGTTTTCTAAGAGATTTCCAGAGCTGAAAGCCATTTGTAAGCAGCGTCTCTTTCAGAAGAAGATGATCAGATGAGAGTCTGACTGATGATTATATAATAA